GAAGTCTATTATTGCCTTCGCACCTTACACCCCTCGGCGCAAGCGCCTCGTGATGTAATCTTGGTGCTCAGGCAATAATAGTGGACTTCTCTACCTTGATATATAATGTACTATTATTAGTAATAACATTGCTATTAGCAAAAACTTTAAACATTATATTTAACTTCATATTATTTATACATTTTTCCTTTCCACCTTTGTATTTCTATTGATCCCAATTTGCGTTATTGGTAGAAAAGGGTTGCTGGGACGAGATGTCACGTTGGTGATGATTATCGGGAATGATGTTTCGTTCGGAACTATCATGATAGGACTGAGTAGAAGTAGAGGTATGCCAAGTATGTTCAGAAATTTCGTTGTTCGATAACTGCATGTTCTGTTCAGAGTTTTCATGTAAATACCGAGGTTGCAGTGTCAATAAAGTAGGTGTCGTAGGTGATGGTCCAGAAGAAACATCAATGTTTAATAACTGAATCTTCTGTTGAGACTTTTCCTGAACACGACGAACAGGATTAGATCGTGGCAAAGTATGTGACGTAAATGAGGGTCCAGGAGGAACCTCATTGTTTAATAACTGAATGCTCCGTTGAGAATTTTCATAAACATGATGCTGAACAGGAGTGAAACTTTGCGAAGAATGTGGCCTATTGGATGGTCCAGGAATTTCTTCCTCCAGTAATTTCATAACTGCTATGCGAAACTTTATTTTTTGCCTAGGGTTGAATACTCTTACATACGGAAGTAAACTGTTAAAAAATGATTCGTCTTCATCCATTTCCTTTTTGAACCGATTTTCCTCCCTTTTTTTTAAGTAAGCAATTTTTTCTTGTTCTGCCTTTAATAAACCTTCCCCGATTGTATCAGTTATTTTTCCTACTTTTTGGGTTTTCATCTTTTTGGGTAATGCAGTAGCCGAAGGTGAAAGTGGAGTCGATGAGCGAGAAATTTGTGCCGAATGGGGTGTGGTAGGCTGTGATTCTACCTCGCTGGTAAATTCGTCTGTGCTGTTTGCTACGTGGTCCACCTCAGTTTCTTCAAAAGTCTCAGTTTCAATTGTATCAAAATTTCCTGTAGATTGCCTAGGTAAACATTGATCTTTTAAAAAAAGGAGTGACTGAAAATATGGCCAATCCGAATGTTCACTGTCATCGTCTTCAACTCCATCCCCTGAACGCTTCGATGGCATTTCTAGCAGTTTCTTTTTAAAAGTTTCCCTGAGTCGTTTCCAGTGTGATTTTGCAAGCGTAACTGAAAAGAGAAAAAAAAAATGTTATTAGTATTAACCTTCAGTTGTTCTGTTAAAATTTCTTTTATAAAAAATCTTGTAAAAATAGATACATTTCTACTTACAATTACTTGTAAAGAAAAACATATTCTCACGACAAGCTTTTATATCACATAAAATAAAAACACCCTGTACATATATCGTCAGCTTAATTGTAAAAGCTCGTAACTCCAATTTTTGTGAAAATTGCATTTTAGCACCATCTGACGGACAAAAATGAATGCTATTGTTAAGAAAAGCTGGCAAGTCCATAAAAATTCGACATTAGAGAAATCACCATCAGCGTAAAACACGTAAATCCATACGTTTTAAAACTGACATTGTAAAACACGTATCTCCACCTTACTCATTAGTAAGGTTATTGTAGTGTAAACATGCGGTGTGGTGTTGCGCTCATTTATTGATACTAACTACTTTTGCTGCACTAAATTAATAGTTTTTGGAAGTAGCTAAGAGGTAAGTTGTAGCCTTATTGCTTTTGTTAAAATTTATCAGTTCTGGGAGTGATAACTCTGTAAAAAATCCCGTTAAAGTCTTAATTTGGATTTAGGAGTTTTACTCTTTTAAGGTATTATAAATTATTTATTAATTTAACGGAGTTACGATAAATTCTACTTACGAGCATTACAGACTTATTGTCATAGAAGAAATAATTCTAAGATAAGGTTTCTTGGAAAGACAGTATAACTAATCAATTCATTGCTTCCGTGTGTTTACAGGATGTCGCGTGGAAAAAAGTGCGTCAGTTTGGCTTTAGCCGGAGAAAATGACCCTCGGGCCATTTTAATGAGTAAGGTACGAAAGCGTAGAGCGGACATAGATAAAATATTTTACTAATTTCAAGTTATAACTCAAAATTAAGGCCAGCTTCGAGATATAAGTCGAAATTAAGACTAGCTTCGAGTTACAACTCGAAATTAACGGTAATTTCAAGTTATAACTCGAAATTAAGGTCAGCTTCGAGTTACAACTCGAAATTAACTGTAATTTCGAGTTACAACACGAAATTAAGATTAGCTTCGAGTTGTAACCCGAAATTACGTTTGAGTTCCCGTTATTATACTCTGTATTAATCCAATCCCGGTTACTAATTGTTCAGAGTTGACAGCTACTGGCGATTGTGTTTTAAATGCGGTATCGTGGTACTACTTTGTCGAAATGGAAGAACTGATCTCATTTTATTTTCGTATGGGTTTACAACAGTGTGAGATAGTGTCTTGTTTGGCGTTAAATCATAGCATATTTATTAGTGATCGCCACCTTAGACGTTTGCTGAGAAAACTAAATTTATTCAGAAGACAGAATTACTCGGATATAACCGATGTGGCAAACTTTATTGAAAACAGTGTTCACCAGCACAGCCAACTCCATGGGTATCGGTGGATGTATTTAAAATGCTTGCAGGCCAATTTCGTTGTGACACAAGAAGTTGTGAGACTGTTACTTCACATTATTGATCCGGTAGGTGTAGATATTCGCACTAGACGTAGATTACGTCGTAGGCAATATAAGAATAAAGGACCTAACTTTCTATGGCATATGGACTGTTATGATAAACTAAAGCCATTTGGTATATGTATTAGCGGATGCATCGACGGATTTTCTAGGCGAATAATGTGGCTGTATGCAGGGAACAATACTAGCGATCCAAGTGTGATAGCAGCCTACTATTTGCTAACATTAAAATCAATTGGAGGTTGTCCTAGAACTGTAAGGGCTGACATGGGCACTGAAAATGGCTTAGTCAAAGAAATTCAAATTAATTTAAGAAACCAGGCTTTAACGGATGATGGGCATAGTCTACTGCCTCCTTTTCTGTATGGAAAAAGTACATCAAATCAAAGAATAGAGTCGTGGTGGTCAATTTTAAGAAAACATCATTCACAGTTCTGGCTTAACCTATTTCATAAACTGCGAGAGGATGGTAATTTTTCTGGAGACTTTCTGGATAAAAACTTGATACAATTCTGTTTTCTAAAGATTATACAGGTAGGAAGGAAATACATATTCTATCAGATACGTAAAAAATAGTAGATATTTCTGCCGTAAGATAGTCTGAAGGCGGTGAAGCGTAGTTTTTGTTCACAATAAATGAAAAATGTAAGTAGATATTTCATTACTAATACTGATATTTTTAGGATGAACTGGACACGGTGGCCTTAGAATGGAACTTGCACAGAATATCGGGATCAAGAAACAGTGTTTCGCCAAGAGGTCGACCATTCACCTTGTATCATATGCCTCAAATTTACGATACTACAGACAACATTTGTCACATTCCAATTAATGAAATTTCAAACTTTGATGAATTCTGTGCATTTCCATCCAACTGTCCTTGTGACAGAGATGTTTATGAATTAAGCGTGATTTTAATGATTGAAAATGATTTGCACTTGGCTAGGAATGCACACGATGCCACAGATTTATATTTGTATCTACGAGCGAAGATAGTGGATCTTATGATTTAATACAACGGTGTATTGGTTATCACACAGTGTATGTCGATTATTTTACTTTATTCACATACATTCACATACATCGTTTTTATAATTATAAGTATATAAAAATAAAAACTTAACTTAACATCAATGTACTTGTATTTAAGCAGTCAATAATAATTAAATAATGTCTATTAACCACACATTCCCAAAGCAGTTGCTGCATTGCCGCGTTGTATTGCCAAGCTTATTTGTTGTTGAAGATATGTTTTGGCTTGACGAACTCTAGTTTTTGTTTGCAGCAAGGAACCTATTTAATGCCACAATGTTTTGGTTTCTTCGCTCCAGGTTCCCATGGTTTCAATGGCGAAAGCAACAAATTCATATGTTTCTTTAATATCTTTGTATTTCTTGTGCTTCAGAGAAACTGTAGAAGCGACTGCAGAACCTGAGAGCAAACAGCTGTTCTGAAGGTGTGAAGCAGCAAGTGTCGACGCAAACCAAAGAACGTCCTTTTTCCACGGAGTTATAGACATTCCGTCTGGGCGTTTACCATCCGTTCGGAAAAGGCCACACGGTTATAATAAATTTGGAATATCAATTGATACCAGAGCCCGTTTTAAAATATTATTTATGGCACTATGTCGTGAACTTTTTGAACAAGACAGACCATGATGTCCTAGAGAATTAAGAGAAGCAGTACAAATACATGTATGAAGATGGCAAATGTTTGAACCAATCCTTAAAGAGACTGCAATTTGTAAAGCTTGTTTGTCCAATAAAGTAGTACTCAAGGTAAAGCATTTAACCAGGCACCAGACTCTGGTTGTGATGAAGGAAGTCAAACAATCTTTATGTGGGGAAAATTTTTGTTATTACCTAATTAATATTAATATTTTTTTAAATACCCAAAAACTGTCTCCTTTTCAGAAGAAAGGATTTCATCCCTTAACTGTAGTTTTGCTATTATATTTGTTGAAGTCGGTTCACATACACTATGCAAAGATATCGAATCGCCTATTTTCCCTAGCGCACCTGATTTGGAGAATCACTTAGCTACAAACTCTGGTGTCTGAAGTAGTTCTTTTTGCGCTTCACCAACTAGTACGGATTTAAAATTAATCTTCGTAACCAGTCTCAAAATCTACTATTTCTTCTTCTTCGACACTATCGAAGTTTGTTAAAGCCTTTTCTAGTGTATTCGATCCCGATTCTGATTCAAATTTTTAAAAATCGTTGGGTATTTCATCGTCGGTAACGAACTGATTTAAACAATTTTTTATGAATACTGGCGGTGCTATAGGTGGTGTATAGGGAAATAATTGCGGTCACTCCATTCACTTCCAATTATTTTAGCAACAGCTTCCCATTCCGCGAAACGGAAATAATCTCGAAAACAAGGCACTTTAAGGCTCGTTCCAACGGTACAGAGCAGGTTTCCGGCTTTCCGGTATCTTGCACCGATAGGGGCAGGTTTTTCGCGCTGAGACTTCACAAAATAGAAGCGAGAAAAAGCACCAAATTAGACCAGTCTGCTTGTATACCCATGCAAAAAAGTCATCTGACGACGACCTAATTATTTTGGAGTTTGTGTTAATAATGTTAAATGGAATAAAGATGGCATGCATCCCATTAATCGGGAAAGAAAAGAATATAGACAATATTATCATTTATTTAAATCATAAAATTATTATAGAAAGTTTTCTCAAACACTGTCCCTATAAGAGCTTATTTATCCACAACCCCCGCGAGCGTCGGCAGAAAAAACTAAATTTTTATTCCGGCAAAAGCGTGCACGGCTGCACGCAGCATGGTAAAGTCTTTACACTAAATTATAAAGTTATGGCATAGTTACCGGACTACTTTTGTTTATGTAAGGAAGAGTTTTACTGACAGAAACCGATAAAATTAATAAACAATGAATTCTGTCCAACCGTTCACTTTCTTATCAATATAATTTGTTAATTTAGAGGACTTCAAGTACTAGAAGTGAAAAAAATAGTATATATACCACGGTAGAGAAGTCTATTATTGCCTTCGCGCCTTACAACCCTCGGCGCAAGCGCCTCGGAATGTAATCTTGGTGCTCAGGCAATCAGTAATCATATAATAATTGGGCTTCTTGTCTGATTGTAGGTAATTGTATTTTTTGTATACATAAATAAATAAAGAGCTTAATAAATTGTTATCAGTATGGATATTATTTATTTCAAAATAAAAATGAAAGTATAGATAACATACACAACTCATATAGATTCAGGAAATATACCTACATACTTATTATATTTTACAAATAGGCTACAAAATGAAATATGACCTCATTTAACATACTCTACTACAGTTCTACTTGAAGTTGTTAAATTAAATAAAGAAAAATATCTGTGTTTCGAGAAATACATTTCAGTATTATAAGGTTTTGGGTAACTTCTAACTTATACCATATCCATCACCCATACATTGGAACTTAATAAATTGTTAAACTCATTCCTGAACGTTAGGAAATTTTCGTAGGTTGTCGGAATTTGTAGTATGCTTGAACAAGTGTGTGCTATTGGAACCCGTGCAAATCCATCAGTACTAATGAAATCAATTGTGATTTTCCCTATTGGAAGATCTGACCCTGTGCAGAATCTCAGAAAAGATGATCGAGTTTTTTCGTCGCTTTCTTTAATAAATTTCTTCAAAAACTGAACAATTTGCTTTTTATCGTGAGACAAGTTTTCGTCCACTTTAAAAAGGGATATTATGTTTCTGTCAGTTGGCTGATAAGCCGAAAAAATGTAATCTATGTTCAATATATGTTTTATATAATTTAAGTGTGGTCTTATACATTCCCTCACAAAGGACGGTTTTTGAAGTATCTCTTCCTTTGCTATTTGCTCCAACATAACTTTTAAATTATGTTTATTGGGCAAACATTTTGCATCGTAATTGGTACAAAATTCTAAAAGGTCATCTTCATCGGCATCTTCAAAATTCTGTAATGAGTTTCTCAGTAATACAGCATCTGAATGTGAGACAAACTTAAGAAAATTTTCCAAAACTTCGTCATTATCTATTGGTTCATCTAAGGAAGACTTGAAGAAAGCGGGAGCTATCCTTATAGGGAAATATTTTTCAGAAACAAAGCTCTCTTTAATAATGTGGCCTATAGCGCTCCATTCCTCTTTCTGAAAATCATGTCTTAGGCATGGTACTTTCAATTCCGTACCCATTGTACATGTTTCATAAAAAGTATTAAAAAATTCAGATATTGTATCTCGTAAAACACCGCCCAAGTCTTCTGCCAATTCCGTCTTGCCATTCGGAAGTACCATTTCTATTTGCATGTTTTTAAAACTAATGTTTCTGTTTTTTACCGCATCTATAAGTTCTCTGAATACATTTCCTCTATGTAAAATTAATTTCTCAGTTGAACTTTTTTCTGACATGTCATTGTCATGCAGTGAACCTATATCTACAGTGTGCAGATTAAAAAATTCAGGTGAAGTATCATTGTGATCAAGACGAAATGAAACCATGTCCTCCTGATGACTCTGGAGATTGATATTCTGAAATTGACAAACTTATTTAGAATAAATGATAACGTTTAGACATGTTAATACGAGCACCTCATAAAATTAAATTAAAAGTTCTTAAGTCAGAATTTCTAGTTCGAAGTCGGAATTCCTAGTTCGAAATCGGAATTCCGAGTTCGAAGTCGGAATTCCGAGTTCGAAGTCGGAATTCCGAGTTCGAAGTCGGAATTTCTAGTTCGAAGTCGGAATGTAATCCAAATTAAAAAATGAAATTGTGTGGCCCTTCTACGCCTTCGTAGGCGAGTTATGCAAAGGTAAATGAAGATCCTAAAAATAAGTTACTTGTTAATTGTACACGAGTTTTTGATGGTGAGAAAAGTCAGTCAGTCAGGCAAAGTCAGAATTAGAAAATGTTTTAACTAGAAGAAGCTACCATGAAGATTTCATCCTTCCACAAATAGACATTCTGCACATGCACAAATGCGCAGAAGATGACTTTTGGCATGTGCGTAAAAGCTAAGAAAAGCTGTTCTGCAAATAGGAACGAGTTACGTGGATCGATGGAAAGACAGCCAGACCGACAAATCATTTCAAATCATTCTCATTTTGTTTATTGCCATACAATAGGTGGTCTAGGGGAAGAGATACACGGAAGACGGAAGACAGGCGGACGGACAGGCAAACAGACAGACAGAGTGACGGAAAATAAAGGGCTTTTCACATTTTTGCGGGTTCGGAGGGGCGTTACAAAAATGTTGAATGTAACTGTTTAACAGTAAAAGATATAGTCAAAGCGAAAAAATTACTAGCTATATAATAAAATGTAGTTACCTCTTCAATAAACGAAGCTAAATATCCGGAAATATTGCTGGTTGAAGGTTGGTTGATATCGTCTTCTCTATAAGCAACCGTGCTGGGTTGAGTTGATTGGTTGGAAACAATGTCGTTTTCAAAGTCATCACATAAATCGAAGACCATCTCATTCTCACTACTGTCATCTACCAGAGGAAGATCATTACCGCCTTCTTTGCATTTAACAATGGATAAATAAAACCGCAATTTATTTACTTTGGTTTCATTGTACATTTCCTCAACAGTTAAGTCGGTATCCACTGGGCTCTTGCAAAAATCAAGCAGACTTATTGTGAAGTTTTCAATAGGCCCAAAAGTCTTTGAAATATTGTTAGGGAAAAATAATTTTTTTGCAAATTCCAAAATATCTTTATTTTTGCTTGTCCTATCTACGTCGACTTTTCTTGTGCCTCCCCCTTTGTTAAGTCTAACTTGCGTTAGTTGTTTTGTGGTATCATTGAACGCCATAAATCCCAATTCAATAGCTCTGGTCGTCTTTCTATGCTTCTTCGGCTCCAATACGTGAGAAGATGCTCCTTTATTATCACTTCTAGCATTTCTGGCAGCCATTTTTTGGCGTAGCTTTTCAATTAAGCCATTTTTTTTGGGTAATAGCTTCCTCTGGCAAAAGTTTTTCACCGCTATTCTGTCCCCTAATCGAGGAATGTATTTCTTGAATACCTCCTCGTCCATTACTTGAATGGTGGCTTCATCAATCTGATAAACATACAAATTAAAGAAGTTGAGATATTATATAACTATCAATTCGTAGATATCGTCAGTGAAATGGATAAAATGTGATTAGCGGACTAGCCTATAATGTTATATATAACCTGTCAGGAAAGATTGGCGGTCACAGAACACTTGATCCCAATCTACAATCTCTGTTTTTCGTAAGGTGCTAGCGACTTCCGGGATAGTATCGTGTCAATGTTGAACGAAAAGACTTTTTGTTCAACATTAGCACGATCCTATTCCAGAAGCCGCTCGCATCTTAGTAAAAACAAAGATTGTAAATCGACACAAGGTGTGCTGTGACCGGTATTGCTAGTATAGGAGTAGGTATACTTACATTTTCTAACTTCATATTTTCAATTTCATCATTCGATAAGCCTCTCGTCTTTAAGAACTCTTCCAAAGACAAATTCATCTGTAAAAAATTAAATTGTTGCACAACCCTTAGCAATAACTTATAGGCACGCCATTACTAGCTTTACTGACGAGTTGAGAATGCATCCTTTTACCATAGATTAAATACTTTTAAAGAATGCTTTTACACAACGCAAATGAATTACGTAAAGGGTAAAGAATATTACTTACCTGTTCCAAGCAGTTTTCTTCACCCATGGTTCACAAAGAAATATAACAAAATTCGCTTACTTTGAGTTATTATTCTACTTAAGTCGGTCTAAAAGATAGAGATGACACGTAATCACCTACTCTAATTCTTAACTGTCATGTGCCTCAAACAGTAATTAATTGAAATACTGAGTAATAAGCTAGTCTTAATTTCGTGTTGTAACTCGAAATTAACCTTAATTTCGTGTTGTAACTCGAAGCTAGCCTTAATTCCGACTTGTAACTCGAAGCTGACCTTAATTTCCAGTTGTAATTCGAAGCTAGTCTTAATGTCGAGTTGTAACTTGGAGCTGGCCTTAATTTCGACTTGTAACTCGAATCTAGTCTTAATTTCGAGATGAAACTCGAAGCTAGTCTTAATTTCGACTTGTAACTCGAAGCTAGTCTTAATTTCGAGTTATAACTTGAAATTAGTAAAATATTTTATCTATGTCCGCTCTACGCTTTCGTAGTAAGGCAAGTTCAATGGCGTCAACTTCTACCGGCGGTTTTCAGAAATTGTCCTATGATGATGGTTTACTTTTTGAGTCAGAGACGGCGATTGATATTATGAACACCCCAATTATTATAGAAGATTTCAATAGTGAATTACTAATAGACAACAACCAGCACGATTTTATAATAGGTACTACCAACAACCAACAGACAATTCCAATAGCCTTAAGCAACAACACCTGCGATGTCCGTAACCAAAATAGCGAACCCCCACCAGCTTCCTTTGATGATGCAGAATTTTTCCCTGATAGTGACGAAGAAATGGATCAAAATTCTTCAGAAATTGACATTAGTGTCTTGCAGGATGATGAAAGCGACGCACCTATTAATGAACAAGTACAATCAAGAATTGTTGAAGGGGATATACTACGTGAGAAAAATCTGGTGGCGTACAGTGACACTGAAAGTGACCAAGATGCCGTAGAAGATGACATACCGGAAACTGAGATGATAGAAAGTAAAAGAAAGAGACGTAAAAGACACGAAGTTAATGAATCTACTTGGAATTCAAGAAAAGTGAAACAAGATAGAGAGAAAGGTTTGAAATATTGTGGCAGAAAGAAAATAGATGGCAAATGGAGATACAATGTTAAAAAGGATGAAAGAGTGCTTAAAGATAGATGCAAATGTATTTTGACAGATCAAGGGGCGTTAAGGTGTGGAATGTTTACAGAAGAAGACCGACAACAAATTTTTAAAGAGTTTTGGTCAATGTCATGGAAAGAAAAAGAAATATATACTAAACTATTGGTTACTATGAAATTAACATCGAGAGCAAGGGGCAGAAAAGTAGAAAACAAGTCAAGAAGAAAATACACAATTGAATATTACTTAAGAAGACGCGAAGATAGATTAAAAGTTTGTAAAAAAATGTTCACAAACACACTGAGTGTAGGTGAGTGGACGGTCCTAAATTGGAAGAAAAGGAGTGCATCAACCTTAATATCTAAAGACACCGAATCAGATAATGACAATTCAAAACCACCGACACATAATGAGCAACCAGAAACGTCCAATCGTTACACACTTAGACAGAAACCGTTTGCAACTCGAATTGAGTCCTTGGACAACTTTTTTTCCAAATTACCTAAAATGGAATCACATTACTGCAGAGCAAGTTCACAAAAACTTTATCTAGAACCTCTGTGGAAATCCAAAAATCAGTTGTATCAGTTTTATGTAAGTGAATGGTGCAAACCGAAAAATGAAAGACCCTTATCTTTAGCCACCTTTTTCCACACTTTTGACCGAAAGAATCTTAGCCTGTTTCGTCCAAAAAAAGATGAATGTGATACCTGTGTAGCTTACAAGACTGGTAATTTAACTGAAGAGGATTATGCCATTCACACAGCCAAGAAAGAAGAGGCACGTGCCGAAAAGGAAGCGGATAAAAATAATGAGAAGTATGTATTTACGATGGATCTACAATCCGTTCTTCTTGCACCTAAATCCAATGTGTCTAGCTTGTACTTTAAGACAAAATTAATGGTGCATAATTTTACAGTGTACAACTTAAAATCGAAAGAGGGCACCTGTTATTTGTGGAATGAGACAGAGGGCGCACTCACTTCACACGACTTTTCTTCTATAATCGTAGACTTTCTCTTAAAATCACTTCCAGTAGATAACGACAACAATAAAATCATTTTGTACAGTGACGGCTGCACGTACCAAAACAGGAACGCGATCCTAGCTAATGCACTTTCAAATGTTGCCATCCTGTATAACATTACAATTGAGCAAAAAATTTTAGAGAAAGGCCATACACAGATGGAAGCCGACTCCATCCATTCCACCATTGAACGTCACCTAAGAAACAAAAATATCAACGTACCTGCTGATTATGTAGATGTTTGCAAAACCGCACGTCAAAATCCAAAACCCTATACAGTTTACTACTTAGATCATAAGTTTTTCAAAAATTTCAGCAGTATTCAGTTCTACAATTCCATTCGACCTGGAAGAAGCCCAGGAGACCCAGTTGTGACAGACATCCGAGCACTGCAGTACCAACCAGATGGTGTTATTTGTTACAAATTACGCTTTCCCGATGAATGGACTCCACTGCCGATCAGAAAAAACAAGAATCTATTGGCTAAACCAATAGTCGATTTGCCCCATTTATATAAGGAGAGACTTAAAATTAAAAAAACAAAATATCAACATTTACAATTTTTAAAGCAAAGTTTGACCGCAGATTACCACCTATTTTATGACAACTTGCCTTACGACGATTAAATTAAATTAAATTCTTCGTTTTCTTTGATATTATGTAGTTCTGTTTGCGTTTAAGAATAAAGAATTTAGTTTGACAATATCATTATTCTCAATTATTATTCCCAAAACATTAATTAATCATACCACGTAACTCCACAATTGTGCCTATTTTTTTCACACCAAAACACGTAACTCCTCTATTAATGCTTCTTAAGCTAATTTTTACCTATAAATCAAAATTGGAATCTAATCGTTTACTCTAAAAGGTTTTAGTAAGCACAAATGATTTTAAAGGAAAATTAAAAAAAATAAGCAGTTTTTTGCTTCCCCTGAAAAATTTACTATTTAGGAGTTACGAGTATTTACAATTAAGCCGACGATATGCCGAAAGTATACATTTAAAAAAAATTCTCTGTATATATATATATATAGGAATGGAAGTTACTGCAAATCTGACATAATAAGCTAGAAAGAAACCCAATAAGCATTACACAAGTGTGAAATAAAATACACAACAAGCTAAAGGTGCTGATGCCATTCATGCGTCTTTTGAGTAGGCTAGTATCCACGACACATTTAATCGATACTGTCAGTGACTATCGATAATGTTATGTCTCTCTGACACTCATATAATGCTTATTGGGTTTCTTTCTAGCTTAAGTAAAAAACACAATACCTACTTATTTTTTTCCATGCCGGTATATCCAAAATTTGAACAAAATTAGTCGACCCATTAACTTCAAAAATTACTAACATAGATACATATATACGCAGCGCGAGCTAGGAGGCTAAAAATTGGATTAATGGGACAAAATTCATTGAAAATAAAATATTTATTTTTTAGGTACAGGATATATAAAAAAAATTAAATAAAACATAAAAGTTCGTCCATCTAAAATATTTTCCATACCATATAAAATAAAGATATTTTCCATACCATACAAAATATAAAATCCTGATTTCAAAATTTAAAAAAACAATTAAATAAAACGTCGTTTCCCTAAAAAGCAGATTTTATTTTTTCAAGTAAGTATTTTTTGAGCCACAAACATGAAGTTCGTCTATGTAAAATATTTCCATACCATATAAAATAAAGATATTTTCCATGCCATATAAAATAGATATTTCCCCGATTTCGAAATTAAAAAAAATAAAACGTCGTTTCCCTAAAAAGAAAATTTTACGTTTATTAGAGGGACCTACCATCCAATTTTCGTTAAAATTGCTCCATAAATAAGAAAGTTGGATGTTGCACATGCGCAACTCGATTTTTTGCGCATGCATTTTGTTTTCTTTTGTTAGGAGGACCTACCATCCAAATTTCGTTTTAATTGTTCCATAAATAAGAAAATTGCATTTCTGCGCATGCGCAACACGATTTTTGCGCATGAATTTTGTTTGCTTTTATTAAAGGGACTTACCATAGAAATTTCGTTTAAATTGCTTCAGAAACAAGATCGTTGCGTTTTGCACATATGCAACACAATTTTTTGACTTTGACAATTTTTTTCTCCGTTTTTTGATAATATAACCCGGCCCAATTTTTTGTAGGTTGTACACAGGAAAATAAGGTCTTCCAAATAATAGAATAAAAATTTTAGGTTGCTATTTGAAAAAAAAAGTTCGATGCCGTTACGGCGCTCCAAAATTTCTTTTCAAAAATCCGGCCCGTTATTTTTCTGTTCGGTATGCCTAAAACATATATACAAAATTTCAACAAAATCCGTCGAGCCGTTTTCTCAGAAAATGCCAACAAACGTACGTACATACGTACGTACGTACGTACGTACATACAGACGGAAAAAAGTTTATTCTTTAAAAGTTGCTTAAAATGGTCTAAAACGTCGACATTTGATGAAATTTTGAAATGTTCAAAAAACGGCTATCGCAATAGCTACCTAGCACATGCTAGGAAGCTAAAAATGTCCCTTGAAAACAGCAAATGCAATGAAAACCAAGGATCGTGGGTTTTATGATCATGTATTTGATGAGACCACTTCATCGCTGTATGTTCGCTGGAAGGACAATAGCATAGTAACTATGGCCAGTAACTATGATCAAATAGAACCTTTGACGTCTGTTAAACGCTGGTCCTCTCAAGTCAAAAAAAAAGTTGATGTTGTGCAACCTCGCCTATTCAGCAACTACAACGCTTCGATGGGTGATGTCGATCAATTAGATCAAGCAGTTAGTTGCTACAGAATCAACATTCATGGGAAAAAATTGTGGTGGGTTTTGTTTACCTATATTTTGAACGTTTCTATGGTAAACAGCTGAAGACTCCACAATTTGACAAATACAAAAGAAATAGATTTGTTAAAATTTCAAAGACAAATTGTAAGACATTATATGCAATGTTTCGACAAATCAGAATACCAAAAGAGCCGACCTTCTGGCACTGTTCCCAAAAGTTTGAAACAAAATACTGGAGGGCATGTTCCGAATGAATTAGGAAAACAATTACGTTGTAGGCATTGCCAA